CCACCCCCCCGCGCCCCACCTCCACCCCCCCCCCCCCCCCCCCTCCCCCCCCCCCCCCCCCCCACCCCCCCCCCCCCCCGCCGACCACCACCCCCGCCCCCCTCCCGCCCCCCACCCCCCCCCCCCCCCCCCGCACCACCTCCCCCCGGCCCCCACCCCGCTCCCCTCCCAGGCCCCCCACCCCCCCGGACCACCCTCCCCCCCGGCCCCCACCCCCGCTCCCCTCCCAGGCCCTTCCCGCACACAGCTCCAGTGGGGGGTGAGTGTGTCTGACACCTTTGCACAGAACACCCAATGGCTTTATGGGGTCTGTCGGCGGGAACCAAGTTACTGTGTGTGGCCGCGTCTCTCTGCAATAATCACTGATACAGCAGCGGCTCCGGCCACACTCCCTCTCCCTCCCTCCCTCTCCCTCCTCACTCCCTCACACACTCCCTCTCCCTCCCTCCTCACTCCCTCCCTCCCCCCTCACACACTCCCTCCCTCCCCCTCACTCCCTCCCTCTCCCTCCCTCCTCCTCACACCTCCCTCTCCTCCCTCCTCACTCCCTCACACACTCCCTCTCCCTCCCTCCTCACTCCCTCACACACTCCCTCTCCCTCCCTCCTCACTCCCTCTCCCTCTCCCTCCCTCCCTCCTCCACCTCCCTCTCCCTCCCTCCTCCTCCCTCCTCACTCCCTCTCCCTCCCTCCTCACTCCCTCACACACTCCCTCTCCCTCCCTCCTCACTCCCTCTCCCTCACTCCCTCTTTCCCTCCCTTCTCCCTCACACTCCCTCTCTCACACACTCTCTCCCTCTCACACCCTCTCACACACACTCCCCTTCTCTCTCGCACATTCTCACACTCATTCTCTCGCACTCGTTCTCACACTCACATTCTCTCACACACCCGTTCTCTCTCTCACACACACGCACACACTCGTGCTCACAGACACACGGAACATAATCTAAGTGGCAGCTGCTGTGGCCGCTGTTTGCCCACTGACCTGTGTGCTAAGGTGCCTCCAGCAGTCAATCCAGGAAGAGTAAACAGCTGCATAAGGGGGCAGGCTGCCAGCCAGCCTGCACACAATCACAATCATGTTTAGTGTCTTTCAGGCCGAGAGGACGTCTCAAACCTCTTCAGTTGTGAAATGACTGCGAATTTGTAGGTGAACATGCACAGCATTGGGAGGGGGGAGGGAGGGACAGACACGCTGTTTACCAAGGCTTGGGGACCCCAGAGTTGGGGTAACTGCTGGAGTCTAACCAGCTAAAACCACATAGACCATTGATATTGCTGCCCGGCAAGCTTCCCCACTGCTTATCCAGCTGGGACCATCCTGCCCGTTAGGGCTTTGGATGCAGCAGCTGAGTGGGAGGATTCCCTGCCCCCAGTGACTGGACTGCCCTTCCAGGTCCTGCCGACGAGCCGGGCTGTGCCGTCATCAGCAGTGAGTGCCCAGCAATACTGCAGACCTGCTTGGCTCAGGAACCAGACTACCGAGACTGCCACAAGTGCTGGCTCGATGCCGACATTCCATTGCCAGGCATGTCACCTGGAGCCAGTTCAGCATCACGACCACCCCCACTCCCCCACTCACTATTTGGTCATTCAACATCCGATCAGCACGGGTTTGAGCCCTGACCAGATGCATGTTCGGTACCAGCAGCTCCCTGCGAGCTCACAGTGAGCTCAGAGTGAGCAGCGCATCTCAGCAAGAAGTGCGTGAGAGCATTGCCACCAACTTCCTGATCACAGCTCGGGCTCATGTCCCTTCCCCACTGAGCGATGGTGCCCCCATTTGGAAGTGCAGAGTTGGAGCAGCAGCTGCTGATGTCTCTGCAGCCAATCCGGGTGGATTCCAGGCGCTGGACGTACAAATGGGTCACAAACTCGGATCCAGGTAACGCCCTCCAGCAGCTGTGACCCCCCACCCCAAGCCTCAGAGCTTCCTCCGCAGCTATCAGACGGGCATCTGCCTTCAGGAAGGTGAGAGGACCTTTATAGGGCGGCTGGTGAGGTGCCGGCCACCGTGATGTTCTACAGGTGCAAGTCCAATGCCATGGACCAGACTGACTCAGCAGCAGCTGCTCAATCCAGGTCCTCATGTGAGGGCCTTGGCAAATAGACTGCCCGGCCAACTCCACCTCCAGGGGCTCAGTGACAGAGAGCAGAGCTCTGATTGTATGATTGTACGAAACACACGGGTTGGGCCCAGATTAATGTCTCTGGAGAGAAACCTACCCACAGTTGTTGACGGCCATTAGATTGGAGACCAGCACAAAGGGGTAGGTCAGCATACTGGCGAAGAACTGCAGCCAAACACATTATCATCACAACAACATCACATACAATACAGCACTCAGTAACCAGCCCCCATCCCCTCTGCACCCTCACACACACACACCACAACCCCTCCCACACTCATCGTAACATCCCCACACACACCATAAACCCCCACCACACACACCATAAACTCCCCACACACACCGTAAACCCTCCCCACAAACCGTAACCCCCACCCCCACACAAACTGTAACCCCCCCCCACACACCGTAACCCACCACGCACACACCGTAATCCCCCACACACACACCGTAACCTCCCACACACACACCGTGACCTCCCACACACACACCGTGACCACCCCCACACACACCGTAACCCGCCCAACACACACCGTAACACACCCCACACACACCGTAACCACCAACATATACACCATAACCCTCCCCACACACCGTAACCCCCAACACACACCATAACGCCCCCCCACACACCGAACTCCCCCCACACACACCATAACCCCTCCACACATACCGTAAACACCCCCACACCGTAACCCCCCACACACCGTAACCCCTCCCCACACACCGTAACCCCCCACACCGTAACCCCCCACACACCGTAACCCCCAACACACACACCGTAACCCCCAACACACACTGTAAACCCCTCACACACCATAAACCTGCCCGACACACACCATAACCCCCCAACATACACTGTAACCCACTGATCTTGTATTGCGTAATGAAACCGGGGCTAATGAGTGATCTGGAAGTCCAGGTTCCTCCAGGGCCGTCACCAGAATACGATAGAATTTAACATTAAGTTGGGGAGTGAGATGTTGTTAATTCCGAAATGAGGATCTGAGACTGAAATCAAGCCAACTTTGCAGGTATGAGGGAGGATTCGGCTAAAATAGACTGGGAAAGTAAATTAAAAGATATGATGGTAGACAAGCAATGGCAAACGTTCAAAGATATATTAGATAATTCTCAGCGATCACATATTCCCTTGAGAAATAAAAATTCCTTGGGAAACGTGGTTCAACCATGGCTGAATAGAGAAGTTAAGGAAAGTATAAAATTAAAAGAAGAGACCTATAATACTGCTAAAAAGAACAGTAAATCTGAGCATTGAGAGGGCTTCAGAAACCAACACAGAATAACAAGGAAACCGATTAAGAAGGAGAAAATGGAATATGACGGTAAACTAGCTAGAGATATAAAGACAGATTGTAAGAGCATTTACAAGTATATATAATAATAATAATAATAATCCTTGCATTTGATATAGCGCTTTTCACGTCAGGAGGACGTCCCAAAGCGCTTCACAGAACACACTGTAAAGTGAATTGACTGTATATTTGTGGGCGAACGCGGCAGCCAATTGCGCACAGCAATGTCCCACAAACAGTCGTAGATTGAAAATGACCAATTTATTATTGTTTTTGGTTTTGGAGGATTATTATTAGGCTCTGTGTGGAGTAAGGAAACTTGCCCGAGGTTTCGCCCTCTGCCTGGAATTGAACTCAGGTCTCTCGCTTGCAAAGCGAGTGCTCTAACCACTGAGCTACAGGACTCCACAAAGAGGAAGAGATTAATAAAAGTAAATGTGGGTCCATTGCAGGCAGAGAGCGACAGGAGAAATTATAATGGGGAATAAAGAAATGGCAGAGTCACTAAACAAATACTTTGCTTCTGTCTTCACTTGGGAAGATACGAAAAGCTTACCAAAAATAGTGGGATGTTAGTGAGGAACTTAAAGAAGTAAAGTAAAAAAACTAGAGAAACTGATGGGACTAAAGACTGATAAATCCCCTGGACCTGATGGCCTGTATCCTGGGGTTTATAAAGCGATGGCTGCTGAGATAGTGAATGCCTTGCTTTTGATCTTCCAAAATTCTCTGGATTCTGGAACGGTTCCCATTGATTGGAAGATCACAAACGTAACACCACTATTTAAGAAGGGTGGGAGAGAAAAGATGGGGAACTATAGACCAGTTAGTCTGACATCAGTGGGAGAGAGAATTCTAGAATCCTTAATTAGGGACATCGTATTGGGATACTCAGAAGACCAGAACAAGATTAGACAGAGTCAACATGGCTTTACAAAAAGGAAGTCATGCTTAACAAACCTTTTAGAGTTTTTTGAGGATGTAACCAGCAGGTTAGAAAGGGGGAACCAGTAGATGTTCCATATTTAGATTTTCAGAAGGCATTCGACAAGGTGTCACATAAAAGGCTACTACACAAGATTAGGGACCATGGAATTAAAGGCAATATATTAGCATGGATTGAAGAATGGCTAACGGGAAGAAAATAAAGAGTAGGGATAAACGTGTCCTCAGATTGACGGGATGTGACGAGTGGAGTGCCACAAGGATCAGTGCTTGGGCCTCAACTATATACAATCCATATCAATGATCTAGACGAGGAAATAGAACTTAAGATATCTAAATTTGCGGATGATACAAAGCTCGGTGGGAGAGTAAGCTCTGTGGATGACACAAAACGATTGCAAAGGAATATAGATAGGCTAGGTGAATGGGCAAGAAGGTGGCAGATGAAATATAATGTGGGGTAGTGTGAAGTTATTCACCTGGGTTGTGAAAACAGAAAAGCGGATTATTTTCTAGAGGGGAGAGACTAGATAGTGTTAGTGCTCAGAGGGATTTGGTATCCTCGTACACCAGTCACAAAACGTTAGTATGCAGGTACAGCAAGCAACTAGGAAGCTAATGGCATGTTAGCTCTCATTGCAAACGGTTAGAATACAAGAGTAGAGACGTCTTGCTGCAACTGTATCGGGCCCTGTGAGACCACACCTAGAATATTGTGTGCAGTTTTGGTCTCCTTATTTAAGAAAGGACATCCTCGCCTTAGAGGGGGTGCAACGTAGATTCACTACGTTAGTGCCTGGGATGAGGGGGTTGACCTATGAGGAGAGGTTGAGTAAACTAGGCCTATACTCTCTAGAATATGGAAGAATTAGGCGTGATCTTATAGAAACATATAAGATTCTTATGGGACTTGACAGAGTAGCCGGTGTGAGACTGGTTTGCCTGGTAGGAGAATCTAGAACTAGGGGTCACAATCTTAAGAATAAGAGTCAGCCCTTTCGAACACAGTTGAGGAAACACTTCTTCACTCAGAGGGTAGTGATCTTATGGAATTCACATGCATATGAATATAGAGGAATTAGAGGTGATCTTATAGAAACATATCTTAAGGGTCTTGACAGAGTAGATGCCGTGAGGCTGTTTCCCCTGGTTGGAGAATCTAAAACTAGGGGTCATAGTCTGAAGATCAAGGGTCAGCCTTTTCGATCTGAGTTGAAACATTTCTTCACTCAGAGGGCAGTGGATTTGTGGAATTCTGTACCCCAGAGGCTGTGGATGCTCAGTCCTTGACCATATTCAAGACTGAGGTTGATAGATTTTTAAAAACTAAAGGTATTAAGAGATGTGGGGATAGGGCAGAGAAATGGAATTAGGTTAGAAGATCAGCCATGAACTTAATAAATGGCGGGGCACAGGCTCGAGGAGCTGTTATGACCTACTCCTGCTCCTATTTCTTTTGTTCTTATGTAACACCCCCACCTCCATACACCATAACCGTCCCCCACACACACACACCATAACACCCCCCCCCACACAGACATCATAACCCCCTCCACACAAACACACACAACCCGTCCTACCCCACACGTTAACACCCCCACACACATCATAAACCCCCCACCCCACATACACACAATACCCCCCACACATCCCAAAGTGCCCTGTGTACCCGAGCCCCTCTGTTCCTTTGGTTGAAGTAAGCTCCAGTCACTACACTTACCCCTGTGGCAGCCTGGGAGTAACTCTTCATCTCTGCCACGTGCAGGGTCTGTGGGAAGCAAAGCAAACAGTTAGTTTACAGCAGATACCGATCCCAGAAAAATCCCACAAAAGCCAAACTTTAGGTTGAATGGGAAAAGGAAAGGTGGTGGAGAGTTACTGAGAGCTCCCAACACCTCAACTACAGGCTTGGCCAGACGTGGGGAGAGAGAGAGAGAGAGATGCTGAGAGAGAGAGAGACATGGAGAGAAAGAGAGCAAGAGATGTGGAGAGAGAGCGAGTGGGACGTGGAGAGAGGGATGTGGAGAGGGACGCGGAGAGAGAGAGGGGGACGAGGTGAGAGAGAGAGACGTGGAGAGAGAGAGAGAGACATGGAGCGAGAGAGAGACGTGGAGCGAGAGAGAGACGTGGAGAGAGAGAGAGAGACGTGGAGAGAGACATGGAGAGAGAGAGAGACTTGGAGAGAAAGAGACGTAGAGAGAGAGACGTGGAAAGAGAGAGAGACATGGAGAGAGCAAGAGAGAGAAAGATGTGGAGAGAGAGAGATGTGGAGAGAGAGAGAGAGAGACGTGGAGAGAGAGAAAGACGTGGAGAGAGAGAGACGTGGAGAGAGAAACATGGACAGAGAGAGATGTGGAGAGAGACGTGGAGGGAGAGAGAGCAAGACACGTGGAGAGAGAGCGAGAGAGGGACGTGGAGAGAGAGAGAGGGGGACGTGGAGAGAGAGAGAGACGTGGAGAGAGAGAGAGACGTGGAGAGAGAGAGAGAGAGACGTGGAGAGAGAGACGTGGCGAGAGAGAGAAACATGGACAGAGAGACACGTGGAGGGAGAGAGAGAGAGCAAGAGACGTGGAGAGAGAGCGAGAGAGGGACGTGGAGAGAGAGAGAGAGAGAGGGACGTGGAGAAAGAGAGAGACGTGGAGAGAGAGAGAGGGACGTGGAGAGAGAGAGGGACGTGGAGAGAGAGACGTGGCGAGAGAGAGAAACATGGACAGAGAGAGACGTGGAGGGAGAGAGAGAGAGCAAGAGACGTGGAGAGAGAGCGAGAGAGGGACGTGGAGAGAGAGAGAGAGAGAGAGGGACGTGGAGAGAGAGAGAGAGGGACGTGGAGAGAGAGAGAGAGAGAGAGAGGGACGTGGAGAGAGAGCGAGAGAGAGAGACGGTCCCACTATCTTGCCCCCCCGTGTGCTGTCACTGTCATCGGGTGGCAGTCGGGCCACACACGGACCAGCAAACACGGCAGCAAAAGCACCGCGTTAAACAGTCCAAACTACACCCTTCTGCACAAACAGCTCCACCCGGCAGCCTGAGCTCAGGACCCGTGTCACCTCCACACTGTCATTGCAGCCGGGCCGGGCGTTGTTGACCACAGCTACACACGGCTTGGCTGCCAGCCTCTGGCATAGCCGCAACTGCTTAGCCCCAGCGCCGGGCAGCGAAGCAAAGCGAGCGAGGAAACAGCGGCAGCAAAGCTCACGGCTGGAGGTGCCGACGTTTAACCAGGTAAATACTCCGAGCCACCGATCCGCCCCGACAGCCCGGGGCTCCGGCTCTCACTGAAGGCAAAATACCGCGCCACCAGAAATCTGAAATAAAAACACAACCGGCAGCTCCCAGACCCACGTTCCTCTCTCCACAGATGGTCCTGACCTGCTGCGAGTTCCCAGCCACGCGTCAGGCTCTGCTCTACAGTGTAACTTACACTGGGGTCCAATGCGTACGTGTGAATGAGGTGAGCCAACAGGTTACACAGCCACAGCGAGAGCACGTCACCCAGCAACCGAGGGATCAGCCCACTGTTAACCAGAGTCAGAGTCAGGGAGACATTACACCGCACCCTGTCCTCCCCCGCACACCCCCACCTCACCCCCCCACACACCGTACCCACCCCATACACCGTACCCCACCCAATACCGTAACCCCCACTCACACACACCATACCCCCCCCATACACCGTATCCCCCCAACACACCGTAACCCCCTCCATATCGTAACCCCCACCCACACACACCGTACCTCCCCCACACACCGTAGCCCCCCACACACATCGTACCCCCCCCACACACACCATACCCCCCCCACAAACCATAACCCCCACCCACATACACCGTACCCCCCCCATACACCGTATCCCCCACACACACCGTACCCCCCCATACACCGTATCCCCCCCCCCCAACCACCCCACCAAACACACACACATACCGTAACCCCCCAACACACACACACCATACCCCCCCCACACACACACCGTACCCCACCCCACACACCGTACCCCCACACACACACCGTAGACCCCCACACACCCACACACCCAGTACCCCCACCACCACACACCGTACTCCCCCCACACACACACTGTATAACCCCCCCCCACACACCCACCGTACCCACCTTCACACACACCATACTCCCCCCACATACCATAACCCCCACCCCCACACCGTACGCGCCCCCATACACCGTACCCCCCACACACCCACACACACTGTACCCCCCCCCACACACCATAACGCCCCCACACCGTACCACCCCCCACACCCCCACCCACCGTAACCCCCACATACACCCACACACACCGTACCCCCCCACACACACACCCACACACACCATAACCCACCCACCCCACACACCGTTTCCTGCCCCCCACCTCCACACGCACACACCGTATCTCCCCCCCACACAACAACAACAAGATTCCATTTATAAAGCGCCTTTCACGTCAGGAGGACGTCCCAAGGCGCTGCACAGTTGGGTCAGGACCCGAGCAGCGGGGAAATGGTCAGGGGGAGGGGAGGGAAGGGAGGGAGCGAGGAGGGGGGAAATGGTCAGGGTGAGGGGAGGGAAGGGAGGGAGCGAGGAGGGGGGAAATGGTCAGGGTGAGGGGAGGGAAGGGAGGGAGCGAGGAGGGGGAAGAGAGTCGAGAAGGGAGCTGAAGGCTCGGTCAAAGAGAAAGGTTTTGAGACCGGCCTTGAAGGAGGAGTGGGAGGAAGCGGCGAAGGCACTGGGGGATGGAGTTCCAGAGCCTCGGGGCTGAGAGGCTGAAGGCCCGGCCACCGATGGTCGGGCGGTTGGGGCGGGGGACGTGGAGCAGACCGGAGCCGGAGGAACGGAGGGTACGGGCAGGTAGGTAGGGGGATAGTAGGTCAGAGAGGTAGGAGGGGGCGAGGCCGTGGATGGCCTTATAGGTGAGGATGAGGATCTTGAATTCGATCCTCTGGGGGATGGGGAGCCAGTGGAGGCGAGCGAGGGCGAGGGTGGGAGCGATGGTGAGGGTGGGAGTGAGGGCGAGGGTGGGAGTGATGTGGTCGCGGTGTCTGGTGCGGACAGTACACGAGCTGCAGAGTTCTGAATGACCTGCAGTGTGGAGGGAGGGCCGGGAAGGCCGACGAGGAGAGAGTTCCCATAGTCCAACCTTGAGGTGACAAAGGTGTGGACCAGTTTCAGCCGCGTGAGGGGTGAGGTAGTGCCGTAGTCTGGCGACATTCCGGTGGTGATGGAAGGCGGTGCCAGTTGTGGTGCGGATGTGAGGGAGAAAGGACAGCTCAGGGTCGAACAAAACGCCGAGGTTCCTGACTGGCTTTGAGAGGTGGAGAGTGCAGCCTTGGATGCTGATGGTGTCGGCGCCTGAGGTGCGGAGGCGCTGACATGAGCCAATGTGGAGGGCCTCGGTTTTTCGCACGTTGAGCTGAAGAAAGTTGTCTCTCGTCCAGGACTCGATGTCGGACAGACAGCTGTCAGGACATCGGGGGTCGTGGAGTTGAGGGTAGAGGAGGAAAGGTAGAGTTGGGTGTCATCCGCATACAAGTGGGAGTGAACCCCATGTCTGCGGATGATGTCACCACAGGGGGAGCATATAAAGGGTGAAGAGGAGGGGACCGAGGACAGAGCCCTGAGGGACACCGCATGAGACACTACGGGGGATGGAGGAGAAGCCGTTTGTGGAGACAAAGTGAAGACGGTGAGAAAGGTACGACCTAAACCACTCAAGGACAGTGCCTTGAAGGTTGAGGTGGGAGGACAAACGGTGGAGGAGGATAGAGTGGTCGACCGTATCGAATGCGGCCGATAGCTCGAGGAGGACGAGGAGGCAGAGGGAGCCCTGGTCACAGATGGTCAGGATGTCATTGGTGACCTTGACCAGGGCAGTTTCTGTGCTATGGGCAGCACCGAAACCCGACTGAAGGGGTTCGAAGAGTGAATGGGTGGAAAGGAAAGAGCGCAGTTGGGAGTGGGTGTGTCTGCTTGTTGTGGGGTTGGGCGGTGGATGTCTGCCTGTTGTGGGGTTGGTGGGGGGTGTCTGCCTGCTGTGGCATGGTGTCTGCCTGTTGTGGGGTGGGGGGGTGGTGTCTGCCTGTTGTGGGGTGGGGGGTGGTGTCTGCCTGTTGTGGGGTTGGTGGGGGGTGTCTGCCTGTTGTGGCATGGTGTCTGCCTGTTGTGGGGTTGGGGGTGTCTGCCTGTTGTGGGGTGGGGGGGTGGGGTCTGCCTGTTGTGGGGTGGGGGGTGGTGTCTGCCTGTTGTGGGGTTGGGGGTGGTGTCTGCCTGTTGTGGGGTGGGGACACACACACACCCACTCACACCATAAGCCGCCCCCCACACACACACCGTATCCCGCCCCCCCCACACACACACACACACACCCACCATAACCCGCTCCCCCCACACACACCGTATCCCCCCATAGGGGGCACACACGACTCTTGTGTTGGGGTGGGTTGGTAGGGGATATGTCCAGGGGGATGGGGTGGTGGGGTGAGGGGTTGTGTCTGGCTGGAGGAGGGGGAGTCTCTCTATTGTTACTTACGCAAAAAACCCGAGGAGCCCCTCCTCACGATAGATTGTTGCCACGGAATCAAATATCCCACTGTGTGAAAAAGAGATCAGTTACTACCCCCCACCCCACAACAGGCAGACACCCCCGCCCCCAACCCCACAACAGGCAGACACCAATCCCCCACCCCACAACAGGCAGACACCCCCGCCCCCAACCCCACAACAGGCAGACACCAATCCCCCACCCCACAACAGGCAGACACCCCGCCCCCAACCCCACAACAGGCAGACACCAATCCCCCACCCCACAACAGGCAGACACCCCGCCCCCAACCCCACAACAGGCAGACACCACACCCCCACCCCACAACAGGCAGACACCGCGCCCCCACCCCACAACAGGCAGACACCAATCCCCACCCCACAACAGGCAGACACCCCCACCCCCAACCCACAACAGGCAGACACCACCTGCCCACCCCACAACAGGCAGACACCCCTCACCAACCCCACAACAGGCAGACATCCACCACCCAACCCCACAACAAGCAGACACCCTCCACCCAACCCACAACAGGCAGACAACCCCCCAACACACAATAGGCAGATACCCCCCACCCCCAACAGGAGGATAGACACTGCCAGCCCCCACCAGACAGGTGTGGGAGTTGAGGGCCTGGGGGAGAGGGAGGGGAGCACTGACTTGTACTTGGATTCTCTTCCGATGAACTGCACCATACACCGTAATGTGATCACTGAAACACAGACACAGCAACTCAGCCAAGGGAGGGGGGGGGGGGCGTGCACAGGGCGAGTGGGGTGTGTGTGTGCACGGGGGAAGTGTTGGGGCATAAGGGTGGGCTGTGGGGGGAGTGGGTGGGGGCGTGGGGCAGTCTGTGTGGAGGGGGGGGGACGTGGGGATAGGGGTTGCAGTCTGAGGAGGATGGACGTACCGTGGAAGGGGTGCGTGATGACAGTGGCCGCTGAGCGAGCGATCATCTCTCGTGACGTCTGGGGACAAGAGGATCAAACAGCAGCTCAACATCTGATCTGTTCCCCCCCACACGCCCCCCTCACACACACCCCTCACACACACACCCTTCACAAATACCCACCTCACCCCTCACACACAGACCCCTCACACACATAACTCTCCCTCACACACGCAACTCTCCCTCACACACACACCCCTCACGCACACACAACTCTCTCACACATACACAAGCCCCCTCACACACACATACACCCCTCACATACAACTCTCCCTCACACACCCCTCACACACCCAACTCTCCCTCACACACACACACCTCTCACGCACACACATAACTCTCCCACACATACACAAGCCCCCTAACACACACACCCCCCTCACACACACCAACACATCACCCACCTCACATAGAACACCCCACAACATTCCACCAATCACATCCCCACCACAATCCCCACTCACGCGCACCAACACCCCCCACCCCCAACACCTCTCTCCCTCCCCCGGGACCCCCCCCGCAACCTGCCCCTCACCTCCAGCACCACGACCTCCAGGGACGAGGTTTGCTTCCTGCTGTCACCTGCTGACGTCTATGGACAAAAACTGAACGTTACTGACTGTCAACATAGCTTACACCCGCACTGGCCATCACACAACCTCAGCAGCACCCACTCACCTCAGCTTCCTCCTGGGCCTGATACACCTGCAACCACAGAGGGGGGGGGTGGGGGGAGAGGGTCAGTTGATTGTAATTGAGTATCAGAACAATATAAACAAACATGTCAGTGAGCTCCCTCTCCCACACCGCCACTGGAAAGGGCAGTGAGGTCAGCACAACCGGCAGTTTGCACACAGCCATCCCAAACAGCAGCCAAGAGGTGAATCACCAGTTCTATCTGGAGAATTGTTGCTCTCAACAACACGATCAATATCAAATGCAAGGTTTATTATTAATATACATGGTCTGTATCTGCACTATGTTAATAGACACACAGAAAATATATATTATAACTGCCAAAAGAGTTTCACATTGCAGAATTCTGAGCTAACCAGCCAAGGAGCAAGGACACCGGTGAAGGTCAGAGTCCTGTGTAGCTGTGTTTCAGGGGCTGAAGGTGAAGAGGTTGAGTGTAGGTGGCAAGTGTGATGGTGGAGAAAGAGCAGGGGAATTGGATTAGAGGAGTGAGCTTTAGAGGTGAGCAAGCACCAGCACAGGTATGATTGGCAGGGGAGGGGGAGCGAGCACCCTCCACGCCGGATGGCACCTCCAAGAGTCCTTCACAGTAACGGATCCCGGGGCCAAGCCAGGGGGAGGGGGGGGGGAAGGTGACCAAAGGCGCGGTCGAAAAAAAAGTCTTCAGCTGAGACCTGAAAGTGAGAAGAGAGGGGGCGAGGCGAAGGGAGTGAGGAAGGGAGTTCCAGCGCCTCGGGGTGCAATGGCTGAAGGTATGGCTGCTGATGGTGGATCGGAGGACGAGGAGCAGGTCAGACCCGGTGGAGCGAAGGCAACAGATGCTGTTGTGAGGAGAGAGGAGGTCAGAGAGGTCGGGGGTTGCAGAGGAGAGCAGGGATTTGAAGAAAAGGGTGAGGATCTTGAAGTGGATACTCTCTGGGATAGGCAGCCAGTGCAGTCTGGCCAGAACTGGGCTGATCGGGGAGCGGAGTTTGGTGCTGGTAAGAATGCATGCGGCAGAGTTTTGTGTGATTTGGATTTTATGGATGGTGGTGGATGGGCGACCGGCGAGGAGGGTGTTATAATAATAATAATAATCCTTGCATTTGATATAGCGCTTTTCACGTCTTCTAGACGGCTCAAAGCGCTTCACAAAATGTACTGTAAAGTGAATTGACTGTGTATTTGTGGGCGAAATGCGGCAGCCAATTGCGCACAGCAATGTCCCACAAACAGTCATGGATTGAAAGTGACCAATTTATTATTGTTTTTTGTTTTGGAGGTATTATTATTAGGCTCTGTGTGGAGTAAGGAAACTTGCCCGAGGTTTCGCCCTCTGCCTGGAATTGAACTCAGGTCTCTCACTTGCAAAGCGAGTGCTCTAACCACTGAGCTAGAGGACTCCTTAGCTCAGTGGTTCTGAGCTGGACTCCTACAGGACAGGAATAGTCCAGCCGAGAGGTGAGAAAGGCATGGACTAGGGTTTCAGCGGCTTTTGGAGAGAGTTATTGGCGGAGACGGCGATGCGTTGGAGGTGGAAGAAAGCAGTGCTGGTGAGGGACCGGATGTGGGGGAGGAAAGATAATTTGGGGTCAAACCTGAAGCCTGGGTTCCGTACGGGTTCGGAGAGTTTTAGGGGGAGGTCGAGTAGGTGGAGGAGGTGAGAACCATGCAATTTAAGACGTTAACGAGAGCCAAAAAGTATGGCTTCCGTCTTTCAACATTTAGCTGTAGGAAATTCACGCTCATCCTCCTGAGATCTGACGGGCCGCTGACAGAACATCAGGGGACTGGGGGTCACAAAGAGAGGTGGATAAATAGAGTTGGGTGTCGTCCGCGTACACGTGGAAATGTATCCCATGTCTGCGGATGACATCCCAAAAAGGGAACATAGATCAGAAAGAGGAGGGGGTCAAGGGTGGATCCTTGGGGTACCCGCAGGTAACTGGGTGAGAGCGGGAGGAGAAGCCGTTTGTGCAGATGTACTGCTGGCAGTTTGTGAGGTAGGACTCGAACCAGGCGAGTGCGGTCCCACTGAGGTGGATGACGGAGGAAAGGCGGTGGAGGAGGATGTATCGAACGCAGCAGAGAGGTCTAGGAGGACAAGGAGGCAGAGGGAGCCCTGGTCACAGATAGAGAGGATGTCGTTTGTGACTTTCACAAGCGCAGTCTCTGTACTGTGGGCAGAGTGGAAGCCGGACTGGAGGGGTTCAAAGAGGGAGTGGGAGGAGAGGTGTGCGCAAAGTTGATTTGCAACAATGTGTTCTACGACTTTTGCGAGGAAGAGCAGGTTTAAGATAGGGCGATAGTGGTTGGGGTTTGAGGGATCTAGGGTAGGTTTTTTGAGGAGCGGGGTGATGACAGCAGTTTTGAGGGGGCAGGGATTGATGATGTCAGCCAGTAGTGGACAGAGGAGGGGGAACTGGGTGACCAGCAAGTTGGTGGGGAGGGGGTCGAGGCAGGTGGTGGGTTTCATTAAGGTGATGGTGGGTGAGAGGGAAGAGGGAGAGATGGGGAGGAAGGAATGTAGAATGGGTGTCGTGGTAGGAGCAGATGATGGGGAGGGTGAGGGGGAGAGAGAGGGTGGTGGGTGACAAGGGCAGGTGGATGAGGCTGCCTGGCGGATGTTGTGTATTTTAGATGAAAAGAAGTCCATGACCTCCTCGCACTTGGCATTGATATGAAGATTGAGGAGGCCTGAGGGGGGCACGGAGGTAGTGGGTGGTGGAAAAAAGGATTTTAGGGTTGTGTTTAGCCTCCAAGATGATGTTGGAGTAGAAGGCCGTTTTTGCGCTGTCAAAGAACGGTGGTAGCTGTGGAGATGCTCGAGCCACAGTTGGCGGTGGACTGTCAGGCCAGTTTTCCCCATCTGCGCTCGAGCAGCCGGGTTTGGGTTTTTAGGGGCGGAGATGTTGTTGTACCGGGGGATCGGGTGGGTTTGGAGATGGTCCTGGATTTCAGGGGGACGAGGGAGTTGAAGGTGGAGGAGAGGCGATCATGGAGCAGCTGGACGGCTGCTTCAGGATCTCTGCGGGTGGAAGGCCAGAGGGATAGGATATTTGAGGATGTGAGGGCCTTTGTGAGGGTCTCAGGGGGTAGCCTTTTCCACGGCGATAGAGGTTGGTTGAGGGCTTGGTGGAGGAGAGAGGGATGAGGAAGTGGTCCGAGATGGCCTTGTTCATTATGCTAAGGTCGGAAATGTCAAGGTCGTGGGTGATAACAAGGTCGAGGGCATGACCACGATTGTGGGTCGGTGAGTTAATGTGAAGGGTGAGGTTTAGGGAGGAGAGGAGGGCAGTGAAGTCAGAAAAGCCCAGATATGATAGGGCGTGGGGGAGCGAGCATCAGCACTGGTATGATTGTAGGAGGGGAGGGGGAGCGAGCTCCAGCACAGACATAAGGAAAGAATAGGACTTAAGTAATTAAACACAAATCGTGAAGTTACTTAAATTGAAACAGCAACAAAATCACATTTGTAAAGCACTTTTCATGTCGGGAGGATGTCCTAAGCCGCTGGACTGTCAGTATTTCGGGCCCGAGCTGGTAGTCGGGGAGGGTGGAAGGTAGGGGGGACGCAGGGTGATCAAAAGTGCAGTCGAAGAGGAGGGCCTTGAAGGAGGCAAGGGAGGGGGTGAAGCTGAGGGACTGCGGGATGGAGTTCTAGAGGGTGGGGGGGGCAGAGTGGCAGAAGCCCCTCCCCGCCAGTGGTGGGGCGGGCAAGGCGGGGGACATGAAGCAGGCCTGGAGCCCGCTGAGTGGAGGTGATAGGATCACGGAGCCTGGTGTGGGAGAGGACACAGGCTGCAGAGTTCTGAATGATCTACAGCCTGTGGAGGGAGGAGTTGGAGGCCGACAAGAAATGTACTCAGCCATTCTTTCTGTCCCAGAACCTTACCTCCCTCCCTCCCAGCAAAGTCCCACGCTGCCTCTGTGAAGGTTTTCTTCATTGACTAGATGCTGGCTGTAGAGAGTGCCTTTGAGCTGTGCCCGGTTGCAATCACCAGTCAGCTCCTGGCTACTGTTCTAAACGCCAATGTCAAATGTCCCAGCCTAATGGCAGCACGTCAGTGCCAGCACACGCCACATGGTCACATGTACCGTCAAGCAGTATATGTCTGTGCTGAACCCTCACCCCAGAGTGGGAGAGAGTAACACAGAGAGTGCGCTGGGAGCAGTGACTCACCTCTCTCTTCTGGGAGAGCTGAAAAGTGAAAGTGGTTGAGTTGAACCGTGAGAACCCTGTAGAGATAAGGATTGGGCCGAGGCAGCCATTTTGTGGCTTTGTTTCCCTGTGGTTGAGCTCCACAGTTACAGGGCGTGTGAATCTGACACTCAATCACATGTAATAATAATAATAATCCTTGCATTTGATATAGCGCTTTTCACGTCAGGAGGACGTCCCAAAGCGCTTCACAGAACACACTGTAAAGTGAATTGACTATATTTGTGGGCGAACGCGGCAGCCAATTGCGCACAGCAATGTCCCACAAACAGTCGTAGATTGAAAATGACCAATTTATTATTGTTTTGTTTTTGGAGGATTATTATAATGTATAATTAAGATGGAGACACTGAGCACACACACATGGCCAGACCTCAGCTTTGCTCTGTGTGATTTCCAGGCAGTTGGGTGGGGGGGACGGGGGGCAGGGGATCACTAAGCTGCAGCTTTGTATCTTCATCTTAGGCATTCCTCTGACTCGTGCAACCTCAACCATAGCCTCCATCTTCCTTCCTGTGAAGTGAGGAAAGCTGAGGCAGCCTGTTTGTGCCTCTTCTGTACAGTACCTGCGCTGTGCCAGTGCTAAGCTGTGCCAATCCTGAGCTGTACCTGTGCTGAGCTGTGCCAGTGCTCATTTGTGCTATACTTTACCGGTCCTGGCTGCTCAGACACCTTGTTTGCTCCACTCACTGATGGTGGAGGCGTTGGGGAAATGGCTGGACAGATGGACTTGTTGTCCTTACACAGCTGCCTGGTGTAGGAATAGTGTGTCCATTTGGTGTGGCACAGGCACTCGGCAAGTTCTTGGTCACACTGACAGGACATTCTTGTGCAGACTTAGCAGAATATGCTGTAAAGTGAATTGACTGTATATTTGTGGGCGAAACACGGCAGCCCAATTGCGCACAGCAATGAACCACAAACAGTGTCTGTGCCCGCTGCCACTTCTACATGTACAGACTCCACTTGACCTGGTTGTGGCAGCCGAGTGTCTCATGAGTGGGTAGTAACAGCAGTCGTCCACCTGGTCCAGGGGTTTGCTGTCCCCTCCGGAGCCACACTGACAGCCATAGTTGTTCAGCCTGAGCAGCAGCACCTGCAGCCTGGCGTGGTAACACCACAGCGTGAGGAGTAGGTCCAGCAATGCTTGTCTCCCCCTCCGGGCTGTACCACGGAGCAGCACGTCACAGCAACCAGCAGCACCATCGTGACGACGTTCGTCATCTCCCCGCTGTTGGTGTTTCTCTTTGCTGCTTTTATAATAATAATAATCCTTGCATTTGATATAGCCCCTTATTACGTCTTCTCAACGTCTCAAAGCGCTTCACAGAATATGCTGTAAAGTGAATTGACTGTATATTTGTGGGTGAAACACGGCAGCCAATTGCGCACAGCAATGTCCCACAAACAGTTGTGGATTGAGAATGACCATTTTATTATTGTTTTGTTTTTGGAGGAATTATTATTCGGAGTGTGGAGTGAGGAAACTTGCCCAAGGTTTCGCCCTGCCGGGAATTGAACCCAGGTGTCTCGCTTGCAAGGCGAGTGCTCTGACCACTGAGCTACAGGACTCCGCATTTCTCTTTTCTGTTACATTATCAGATTGCCTGCTCCTCCTTCCCACCCAATGCTGCTACAAGGTTATTTACTGAACATGTACATATTCCAAGAGTTTTAATAACGTTTGAATTCGCTGAGGGTTGGATTTGGGCTGGGGGCCAAGGGAAAATGGCTGAAGGCACCATCAAGAGGAAGTTGATACGGAGGAGGTGATGGGAGGCAGAGAGACTCCGGGATGGAGTTCCAGAGGGTGAGGGCTGAAGGCCTGGCTGAGGATGGTGGGCAGGGTGAGGGGCACGGAGCAGGCCAGTGCTTAGAAACAATTTAGAAGGTCACAGAGGTGGAGGTGAGCAAGACTGCGGGGGGCTTTGAAAGTGAGGCCGAGGATTGTAAACTCTGTCCTCTGGGGGACGGGGAGCCAGTGGAGCCGAGTTATCAATACCCAGCTGTCACTAACCTGTTGAGATAATTGATGGCCAGGGAGCAGACACTGGTCTTGCCTCTCACTGTTTCTCACAGTCTCCTGACCCAGTCCTGGCTTCTCAGACAGTGTTGCTGAGGCAGACTGTGGCGTGAGGCTGTGCTTCTCACTACAGTGTGAACCTGCCTGTGTAGCTCCCTGCTCTGCTGGTAATAATAATAATAATAATCCTTGTATTTGATACAGCACTTATCACGTTTTCGAGACGTCTCAAAGCCCTTCACAGAAAATACTGTAAAGCATAGCAATTGTATATTTTGTGGGCGAACGCGGCAGCCAATTGCGCACATCAGTGTCCCACAAACAGTCGTGGATTGTGTGACCAAATTATTATTATTTAAAATATTTTTTTGAAGAAATTATTACCCCCAGGAAGCTATTTGGCAATCAACTAACAGGCAGGTGTGATGACCTGGCTGTGGGCTGGGTGGTTCAGGCTGGTTACTGTAACGAGGCTATGATTATGGGTGACTGATGTCTCGCCTTTGGGCACCTTCCATTTCTAAACCACTTTCCTGTGGTTTGTGTTCAGGATTCTTAGATGCTTTCTGTATGTTTCTTTTTTGTGTAGGTATTTCCTCATTGCTGTATCCCTCTCTATCAAGCAGCATGAGCGAGGCACGGTGGGGGCTCTGGGTGTGGGTGGGGCGGAGGGTGGGGGGTGGGGAAAGAGAAGGGGAGATGACCGTTATCTGCTTTTTGTACTCTCAGGTGGGACATGAGCCGCTGTCTCCCATGCTCGGCCGTAATCTCTTCAGAACCCCTGTGTACCAGCTGCCAGGACTCTTTGCCTACGGTGGGTTCATATGGGGGACTGACTAGGCGTCGGTGAATGGGGGGGAGTGACGGGGTCAGGGGTGTGTGGCAGAGTGATGGAGTCGGGTGGGGATGGTGCCAGAGTGATGGATTCGGGTGGCAGAGTGACGGGGTCGGGGGGTGGCAGAGTGACGGGGTCGGGGGGGTGGCAGAGTGACGGGGTCGGGGGGTGGCAGAGTGACGGGGTCGGGGGGTGGCAGAGTGACGGGGTCGGGGGGGTGCGGAGTGACGGGGTCGGGGGGGGGGGGGGGTGTGGGGGAAAGACGGGTGAGTAACTGTTGACGTCTGTGTCATGCAGCCAAGCACATCGTGGCTATTGATGGGAAGATGGGTTTGTTTCGAGGCCTGACCCCCCGGTTGTGCGCAGGAGCTGTGGGCACCGTCGTACACAGTAAAGTGCTACAGGTACACAGTGC